TATTTAAGAGGCTAAGGCAAACTTTCCCTTCCTCATATAGATTTGGATTTATTCGCCAACCTCCAGAATGATAGTATGCTGACTACACCAATATAAGAAACAATTCACATAGGGATGGGGGACCCGGACCATTATATCATAAGTTTAAGTTTTCAAGTTATATAAATAATTTCAAGCTTCATCTGTAACAGGAGGGAAGAAGGTAAAAACAATATAGCAGTTTCATTTTATTAATCATAGTACTTGCTTTCTTTGCAAACAAGCACTGTTCTTGCGAAATGTGAAAATGTGAACGTAAAAAAGAACACAAGACTTTGTAAGAACAAGATATTTGTATGAAAATTGCTTTTTCAAGAAAGATGGTTAGTTTACAACGTAAAACCAAGTACAATGATTCAGAAGGCCAATTACTCAAAGATACATATAGAAGAGATGGGAAGTTCCTTACTGGTGGAACATCAGGGTATTCTGGAGGAAGATGAAAGTCAAAGAAAAATAGACCATCTTGATAAGGTGTACCATATGCTCCAACAATCACAGCCCTCAACAGATCCATTCTATTTTCATAAACTCTAACATAAATTCCATCTGTGTAAAAAGGCAAAATGTTTATATGGGACAATATTGGCTGGAATCTCGCAAATATCAGTAATGGGAATTGGAGGCACAAATTCAAAACATACCCGGCAAGTTGTTTTGGAGGATATTCCAATCTTGTTGGACTTTCTTAAGCCATCTCCTTCCAGTGCTATTCTGCAAATATATCTAATGTGTCATGAACTAAAACAACTAAACAAATCTTAAATCAAGCTAAATCTGATATAGATATAGTACAACCAACAGGGAATCACATTGAGGATGTAAAGTAAAAAGTTTAGGCTGGAGTTGTTGACCAGTAACCAACTCTCAGATCAGAGAGAAGCTTAAAAATTGAAACAGAATATGTATCACAATATAAGAAACAGACATCTGATCTTAAAATTTTTAAGAAGCCCATTCCCTTCCCATTCCGGGATCACACACAAAACCAGAGTGCCACGTAACCAGCTCCATTTCCATTAGTAAGAACCAAGGAAACAAAAGGAAAACTATCCGAATCCAGAGTACAGCAGAACAAATCAAAGTGAAAAACAAACAAACGCAAGGTCAATTATTAAGCCAAATCCACATTTTCATGTAACTCCAAACAGCACAAGCTAATCCCAAAAAACAAATCAGATCACATAATTTTTCAAGCAAACCAGGCAAGTGGAGAAAATGGAAGGAAACACAATAGAAAATTTTATCTGAAATAGAAGAGTCCACCTAGCAAATCATAGTCTCTAGTCTCAACCAATTAACAGTTAACCAACAAAACAAGAGGGAGTCCAACCAGCAAAACCAAGCAGAAGAAAAGAGCAAAAGAGTTGTTAGGAACATAGAGAACATATATGTAATTTTGGTTATGTACCTTTAGCCTTTAGGGTGCTGGCCGGCCATGTCCAACCATTGTACAATATTTATTGTTCATTTTCATTTCGTCTAAGTAAGAGATGTACTTTACAGAGAATCCTTTCATGGTATTGACCATTTGGCTCTTGGTACAAACCCTATCCCCTCCGCCCTCATACCACAGCCTCCATCAGCTGTTGTGACCTCTACATTGTCAGCCTTCAATAGCTTTAAGAGTATTCATTTTCTTGAGTTTATTCAATGAATAATCATCCATTCAAACTATGCTGTTATATCGGTCAGAATACGAAATATCGGTCAGGACCGATATTCGATATATCGGTTATATCGGTGATATATCGGTGGTATATCGGAAATAGTGGTTAACATAATATTTCTTAGAATTATATATATAATATGCATTAATTAGAGTTTAGAAATATAGTTTCAAAATTAAAACATCACATCATCTAAAGTGTTCAAAAACAAACTAATCGCAAGCAATAGGTTCGGCATCCGAGTCAACATCATCCAATACATTCACTTCTTCGTTTAGGTTAGCTTCCCAATCTTCCTCTTCTTCCCCTTCATCTCCAAAGTGATCATCATCATCATCTCTAAGTTCTAACTTCTAAGTTCTAACTAAGACAAATAAGAATAATCAAGTGAGTGGGTGGGTGATAGTAAGACCTGGAGGCTGGATTACAGTTGTTGTCGCTGTCAAAGAGTCGATTACAGTTGCTGGCTTGCTGCAACCTGGTAAGCAGAGGAGATCGAGAAGAGAGATCGAGAAGTCGAAGTTGAAGACTTGAAGTCGAAGTCAAAGTCTGAAGAAGAAGTCGAAGTCTGAAGACTGAAGTTGAAGTCGAAGTGTGAAGAAGAAGTCGAGACTCTGAAGTTGAACGTGAAGAAGTCGAGACTCTGAAGTTGAACGTGAAGAAGTCGAAGTCTAGAGAAAGAAGAAGACGTTGTGGAACTATTTTAAGATTCAGACCTAATTTAATTATCAGCCCAAAAAATTAGGCCCATGGAATAACAAATTTAAGTTATCAGCCCAAAAAATTAGGCCCATGAAATAACAAAATAAGTTATCAGCCCAAATTTTTAAACCTTATAAAATCGGTATATCGGACCGATTTTTACCTCAAAATATCGCTAAAAATCGCTAAATATCGGAAAATATCGCCGATAATATCGTTTCCGATATTTTGACCGATATTTGAGTTCCGATATTTTTTTTTCGAGCGATATCCGATATATCGCCGATATATCGACGAATATCGCGATATTAACAGCATAGCATTCAAACAAAACCACAAGTCTAAAGACAGCATCCAGGTAAGTCATATGTTCCAACTTATTGGGCATCTAGTCAAGACTCGGCTCAACCTAATGCATGTGGGATACTCGGGATTACCATTATCCCTACCATCTACTCATTAATACAAGAGATTATTACAACTCCGCTATTGTCTAGTGGTATACAAGAGTCATATACCCTTGCAGCCCTTCATAGGAGCACTAACCGAGGCTGTCAAAAACAAGTATGATCTAGGAGAGGGTTTGGTAGAGTATTTAGCCATACAGGCATGGCAGATATGAGCCGCTTATGGTAATAGGAAAAGGTTATGGTGGACAAGAATCAGAAGTGAATAACCTAGAAAGAGTGCTACTATTGCCATAGATGATAGAACTTTCCATACAGAAATAACTTGTCCAAAAGTTTAGGGTCGTCCATAGATTGGGAAGAGGTCCAATTTCTTCAGAGATCCAATTCAATCAGATGCATCTCATTCATGCATTTCATGCATCTCAAGAAAGGTATCCTCGTGCTTCTGCTGTTCGTAGCACTAGTACTTGTTTATCCAACTCACCTTCATCTTAGATTATCACCTTAATTGCATTATCTTATAGGACTTCTCTACAACTACATGAATTTATGCCAGAATAACATAATACCAAAATTATAATCATCATATATTTACATAATCTAGACAAGTTTATATTTAAATGAACCGATTTTCAGAAAAGAAACAAGAGAGAAGAAAACATCTATGATTACGATTAAAAGGAACAACATTTATGCTTCCGCCTAAGTTTTTTGCTCTGTCCCCGCTTAGACGATTGACAGATACAAAGTCATTCATCTGCATGGCTCCATTTTACATTTTTAGACACTGGTCAGTTATATCTGGCAACTTCTTCACCATCTTCCCTCCATGGCAAAGAACCAGACTGCAGAATTACTAAGACATGATAAATGCCTTTTATACATGTATTTTGCTACATTTATAGAAATTTATCAAGGTCTCTTGCTATTATAGCACAATTACATACTAAATTTGCTTCTTTTTCAGAGCAAGATGGAGTAACTGATAAAGAGTTGAAGGAAGCAACAAAGAGAAGAGAGATAATCAACAGAAGGTCCAATGTACCCTGTAGTGGAAGCATTCGAATGACTTGACCACATCACCCCTATGGTGGTATGGATGATATGTCCCCAAAGTTCCAGATTTGGCGAATTATTGATAGATTAGCAACCCAAATTCTTTCCTTATCACAACAGTTGCAGATTTTATCCCGTTACTTGAGATGCATTAGTAATCATTGCCTGGTCTTACGAGCCTATAACCAATTCATGTTTGACAAATTGATTGAATTAAGTGAATTGATCTTTTGTTTTAATAAACTTGCTACAAATCAATCAAAACTACACAGAGTAAGAAACCCTAGGAGATTAATGTGGTTAGAGTAGGTTACATCTAAGAACACGCGGCCAAAAAGGAACTCCATCAAGATTTAAAGCATCTTAAGATTGAATCAACCTAAGAATTTATCAAGGATAAATATTTGAGGTTCAAAGATTATCAACATATTATCTTTACAAGGTTATAAGAAGGTTTCAGCAGAAGGAAATTCAACCATCTCATAATTGACGAAGGTTTTAACTTGTTCAAACTTCAACCAATTTTCATAATTAATTGGATTTAAATCCGTGGAACCTTACTACCACTGTTCATGAAGATAGTCGAAGCCTTTTCATTAACTTAATTTTTCAAGTTATGTTTTTCTATCTCTAGAGCAAGGTGATTAGCCTATTTTAATTCCAATTATTTGGTTTATTCAAATGATCTTGTGTTTGGTTAAATTAGTTGCTAATAGACTTGACTCCGCATGGCATGAGGCTCAATTTATTCACTTCATTACATGAACAATTGGTGCACTTTGCCAGTGTCTGTTGCCTATTGTGAGATATTTAGGAATTATCGTTGATAAACATTTATATGGTTGTATTTTGAGAATTTTGTGGAAAATAACTGAAACGAGAAATCTTGTATATTTTAAGTTGCATATACCCAGCTTTTATCAAGAAGAGATCTAGGACATATTTTAGGAACTCGTGTGCATATGGATTATTGTACACTATTCTCAATTGATGATTATTGAGTGAATGACTCCTCTTTTCACTCAATAACTTATTTTTTATTTCTTTTTTTCTACCAAAGGAACTTTGGCCTCTAGGAGGTCAGGGGTTCAAACCTCACCAAAGGTGAGGAGGGTGTGTGAGTTTATTTGTTGCATTTACCGTATATAAATATTATATACTTCAAAAAAAAAACTTATTTCTTTCCCTGCACATTTATCGTCCTTCCAGACAAATTACTGTCACTGTTCATCACTTTCTACTCTAGAACTAGTACATCCCATAAATCATGTTTGAAATCAACCTATTACTCCTTCCTGTGAAAATGTTGCTGCTACTTCGACTGGATTATCCAACATCCAGGCTTCGCCTGAATGGAAAGAACTACAGAAAGTGATCTTAACTAGTTCACACGTTTCTGAAGGGAAAAGGAAAATTGAGCCATTTGCCATGGACAGGACCAGTCAAAGAGGATCCTAAGGTCAATGATGCTGCTTGATCTACCAAAAAACAGATTTCCACAACCGAGCAAAGGAGTGCAATCTCTAACAGAATAGTCAAACCTAGCAGCTGGATCATTATCAATTTATCAGTGCATTCAGATGCACTGTGTGAACGATGTGGTAACCCTAAAACACTTTATGGAAACAAATTTCGTTCTGGTAATGCTAAGGGGTATTTCAAGCAAAGGCACTCCAATTTATTTCATGAAAAAAGAAATAAATCCATGAATCCTCGTATGTCACAATACCCCTCAAAGAAAAGGAGTTGCAAAACAAAAGAATGGTCATCTTTTGAACATCACCCGAGTATTACTCTTCCATTAAAATGTTCGTAAAAGTTATTGGGGCAAATCCATCCTAGTATCTACCTATCTATGTAACAGGCTTCCAACTGAGGTTTGATTTCAAGACATCATCTTAATCAATTTTATCCAAGCCTTGGTCATTCAAACGATCTCATCCCATGAGTTTTCAGAAGCATCGCCTATATCTCTCAATACGAAACGGAAACCTGATCCATATGCCCTCCCGTGTGTCTTTGTTGGCTATTCATCCACATACAAGGGATACAAATGCTTCCGTCCTCAAGACATAGCAATGTTACATCTGATAAATGGGTCCTTATTTACTCAATCCTATCTCCAAGGGAGAATGCGACTGAGATAGAACAGGGGGCTCCTCGTCCATATCTCTATTAAACCTACACCTGGGCCACAAGTGATGATCCATCTAACCCAATGAATCACTAATCTTAGGACCTCAGAAAGCTCAAAATAAGTCTCAACAACTACGGGTATAGTCTAGAAGCAACAGGTCAATCTCTCAACCTATGGATGTTCAGTCCACTGAACGAGCTGCCATATAAACTCCCCAACCAGTTGTGGAATCAACAATAGCCATTACACCATCATCTGATCTCAATCCACAGGTGGAAGTCGAACCTGTACACAAAATGACCTAGGCCTATTTGCTCTTAGGAAAGGAACTAGAACCTGCAGTCAACAGCCATTATACCTGGTTCATGCCATGCAAACCTGTCCAAGAATTATAAAACCTATTGAATGGAGAAATGCAATGATATGATGGAGGCGTTGGAGAAGAACAGAACTTGTGATTTGTTGAAATTGCCAATAGAGAAAAATCTAGTTGGGTATGCTGGGTGTTTACAGTGAAGTACAAGTTTGAGTATCTGCTGAAAGGTACAAGGCAAGTCTAGTTGCCAAATAATACACCCAAACTTGTGCCATTGATTATCTTAAAGCATTTAAACTTATCAAAAACTGTTTTCCTTGAATTGGATCTTACAGCACTTGATGTTAAAAATGGCTTCCTTCATGAGGAATTAGAAGAGTATATACACATAAAAGTCCCACCTGGCTTTGAATGTGAAATAAGGATGGTGTGCAGGTTTCCAGGTATTGAAGTTGCACATTCAAGGAAGGAGATCTCTATTTGAAGATAAAAGTATGCATTGGATTTATTAAAGGAAAAAAAAAAAAGCTAGGATGTAAACCTATAGCCACACTGATTGAGTTCAATTACAGGTTGTTCGATGCACTAGAAGATTCAGCATAGACAAAGGAACCTATCAAAGACTAGTTAGAAACTAATCTACTTAGCATGTACAAGACTGGTTGTTGTGAGTGCGGTTGGTCCGTTCATGCATGATCCTAAGGAACTACACCTGAAGGGCGTATACAAATTCAACAATACGTCAAGTGGAGTCCGGAAAGAAATGTCCTGTTCAAAAAAGAACAGATGGCATTAGAAGACTACATGGATGCAGACTATGCAGGCTTAAAAGTGAACTAGAGATCAACTTCAGAACATTGTACTTTTGTAGAAGTTAACCTTGCATCATGGAGAAGCAAAAAACAAATTCTTACGGCAAGATCAAGCACAGAGTAAGAGTTCAGGTCAATAGCATACAGTGTTTATGACCTGCTTTGGCTAATAATAGTCCTGAACGAAGATCCTATGAAATTAATTGCGACAACAAGTACACCAACAGCATTGCATATAATGCTGTACACCATGATCAGACAAAACACGTAGAAACTGATCGACGGTTCAGAGGATTACAACTCATCTGATGATTCTTCAACATCAGCTGGTTTGACCTCCACATAGTTTCACCCAAGCTTGTGTGGAATTTTAATTGATATGAGAAATCTTGTATATTAAGTAGCACATATCCTTGATTTTATTCAACCTAGGAGATATTTAAGGAACTTTTATTTGTCTATTGTACCCTATTTTTTATCGATAAAAAGTCATCGAGTGAAAAACTCTTCATTTCACACCTAACACGCATAAAAAACAGTCAATAGTAACAAAAGATATCAAGTGGGGAGACAACAGAAGAACCACTAGGTGATGAGCACCCCATAACAGAGCTGAACTAGAAGGGGGAAAAAACAGTCAGTTAAAAGTGCACTTGCAAAACCGTCTTTGAACTATCTGGTTTTCCAAATTAATCCCTGATTTTCCACAAATTTCAACCTTCCAGGAAACTGCAAGATAGACCCTAATCTTTAAGAGTTGCAATAAATGTCCCTATAATTTAAAATTCTGCAATTGACCAGGTCTCCCTAGAGACAACTGCCTCAAACTTTCATAAAAGACAAAGTAGACCTCTTCCAGAATCTAACAATAACCCCCAAAACCTTCTGTTGAAGGTTAACGATTGCAGAAGTAGCCCAAACAACCCTGCATGGTTTGGGCCTTTGGGGAGTGGCAGACCAACAACCATGAGGGCAAATGGCAAACAAATGAAGATGATAAGATGAAGAAACACTCATAGTTGGCGACATCTCTCATTGGAGCTTCAAGGAATCAAGTGAGTGAGCCTCGTAAGCAAAAGCTATCAAAAGGTAGAACAGACACAGAAGCTGTGAACAGTCAAAATGTATATCAAAGCAAAAAAGACGCCTACAAGGTTTAACATCAAATCCATGGTCAAGAATGCTTGCAAAGCTTTGACCAGAGGTGGTACTTAATGCTGGGGGCCTAGGGAATCAAAGCAAACAGCTTGTTGAAAGACATTAAAGTAAATACTTCAGTCAATTTCCAAGAATAATAGGCCTCATTAAATATTGAAACTCACCTGTCTGTCGCCACCAAGAAAATAATGGTCAAGAGGATCTTTAACAATGTCAAATCCTTTAAAGCTGGAATTGCCAACTTTGAATCTTGGGGAGTCATCTACTTTACCAGAATTCACATTGCAAAGTTCTTCTGGTGCATCTAATAAGCTTGGTACCTCAACAGCATGCTGCTCTCCTCTATCAGAAGCTGGTCTTTCAAGAGTATCAGTGCAGCTGGATTTGCGGGAGCTAGACACATCAATAGAATCTTTGTTCTCTGACCAACTATCCGACCTTGGCAATACTTCATTGTCACCTCCAGAATTTATGCTTGAATTATCTGTATTTCTTTGACCCCTAGAAAAAATTCCACTGGCCAGTCTTGTCATAAATCCCAGGGCGGCCAGGGGTATAGAAAGTGCACCATTTGTTTGGATATTTTCAACTGTATGCTCCGCTGCATCAAGACTGATGTCAGACCCATTTTGTATCCGAAGATCCTGAAGAAAAATGTTTTGTATCAGTCCCCAACACACAAATTAAAGGTGATATAATCAGATGCTTAATAATTAGGTGTACAAAATGTAGAAATCAGAATTCCTGAACCAACTTAAACATTTTGATGCCTAAAAGCTGGATGGGACAACAGTATGACAAGATTTTCAGTCACGTTTTATAAAAGAATCGGCAACATGACAATACATCCTTTAAATTTGTTCCCAAAAGAAGGTGCATAGTACTCATATTGAGCAGCACATTACATTATATACCTCCAACTGGACCTCCTATCGTATTGTTTAAAATAGACACAGCCACAGCATTTTCTGATATAACATAGAACACCTATTTTACACTGGTCTTTTTTTTACTTTACAGAAGAGAATTTCCATACAGCATTACTCTGTTCCTGAAACTAAGGGGCGGTTTGGTTGGTTTTCCGTTAAGTCCTGTATGGATAAAGTTGTCCGTGTGGATTAATCAGTCTGTAATCTGTATCGACTGGGAAGGTTTTTTGCTTGGCAGGGTTTTTTCATAGATAGAAGGAACATGATTTTTAATTGGGAGGGCAGGTTTAAAAAAAACCTTGGCTTTCTGCATAAAGCTCCCCCTAAAAGCTTACTGAACAAGCCACTTTCTATATCATTAAGCCACTACCAAACAGGTAAAACAGTCATGTATAGCTGACCGAATAAGTTACGAGTCCCATTAAGCTCATTAAGCTGCTGACAAACAGGCCCTAAGGCAAGCATGGACCAATTAGGAACCACAGGCATCAGGTTAATGTTGGTTCATTGCAGACAAATGAATGAGCATACAACTATGGAGATCAATGGTTAAGGTGAATGCCTTCACCCACAACCATCAGCTTTCATTCATCAAATGGTGTTTGCAGATACTACAACCACCAGAACCAGAAAAGATGGTTGGATCACCGAAAAAGGTCAAGAAACTTTCACGTATGGACCTTAACGTATTTCCATTATTATACTATCTCCCCTCTCTCTGCTGGTTATTTTCGTTATTGTGTTCATTTGCAAACCTTCACCACGTAACTGTATGTTAAGAGAATAAGAAGGAAAAGAAATCCAAAATGAACATTTTATTCAAAATAGGAAAATATTTTCTGAACTACTATGCATTATCCTTTAACTGGCAAGGTTAAATTTAGTAGTTTAATTGGAAAGAGTAACGTATTGTGATCATCAAATAGCGGCTCATACCAAAGAGGATTAGAATATCAAGAAATAGAAAAAAAAGCCTTCCAAACAAAAGGTAGAAGAAAAAACTGGTCTAGTCTTTAAAGTTAGCTGTATACATTGTGAGCACATTGATCTGATCAGTGAAACTAGCAATAATATTTGCAGTAACAGCAGCAAAAAGGTGACAACTGAATTCTGGCATGTACCAAACATCCAACTAGACATTGATTTTCTTTAATTGACAAGCAGAAATAAGTTTCTCCCTTGGAACTATATTACAACTAGCAAATATAACCAAATGCCACTCCGTGAACGACCATTCCTTTGTTATACATCAACTGCATACTGCAATAACTTAGAAATGACTTTTTACCAAACAATTTCACTGATCTAGCATATGTTAACATAATGATTTTAAACAGTTAAAAACTTCATTGAACTGAAGAAAAGAAAACCATCTGGAGAAAACAAGAGCACACTAACTGAAGAAAAACCTGCCCAACTAAAAACTACAGAAAAACAAACAACCCCAAACCATACACAAGCTAACAAAATTGATACAGCTAGATAAAGATTTGTTGCTTCTGAGATGAATATAAAAGAACAAATGACATCAAGAGCCTTATAAGCACTTGAATAGAAATGAACCTCTAGTGCCTTGTGAAGGTTCTCCATTTCAGTATCCTCCACTGTTTCCCAGCTAGCTGCATCATCACTTACTTCACTTCCACCAGCAACTGACTCATCGTCATCATCACGACCAACAACATATATTGCTTGTGGACCAACCTGATTGGAAACAAAAGATCATATAGGCTACTTGCAATTACCATCACAAAGAGGAATAAACTTATTCCATAAGTGCACATAAAAGGAAACATTTCTAAGAATCATTAGGCATGGGAATGAGACCCACCCCATTGGGGAACCCGATGTACCCGCCCCAAAGGGGCCGGGGTTTCCCCACAAAACCGGGGATAGGGACGGGGATCCCAAAAGTTTAAAGTTGAGGATGGGGACGGGCCGGGTAATGTGATCCCCGCCCCGGCACCATCCCCGAATATTAAATGTATTATATATATATATATATATATTATATATACTTAGATTTAGTATCTTTTAGATCTAGTGAATATTTTGACCTTTTCTTCTTATATACATTTTTCTAACTTGTTTTACTTTTTTTGGATAAAAAACATGAAGAGTTGCATGCTCAAACAATTACACATGATGTTGTGATTTTGTTAGCATATGAATATTTGATGGTCCATAAAAGCAAAATTTTGGAAATATGTGAGACTTAAACATGGACCATTTGACCGAGTGTGGTGTTTAATTTAATTTAAAATATCTCACATAAAGGGGAAAAAATCCCCGATTCCCTGTCGGGGATGGGAATGTGATCCTATTCCCCGGAAGGGACGGGGACAAGGATGGGGACGGAGATTGAAGATCGGGTACGGGTAGGGCTGTAAACGAACCGAACGTTCAGCGAACCGTTCATGAACCATTTGGCGGGAAGTTCGTTTATGTTCGTTTGTTTAATAAATGAACGAACATGAACAATTTTTTTTGTTCGTTTAGTTAAACGAACGTACATGAACAAGAGTCTTGTTCGTTCATTTATGTTCGTGAACGTTCGTTTACGTTCGTTTATGTTCGTTTATATACTAAATTTAATATATAATATTTTGTTTATTTACATTGAATTCAAATAATATTTATTTATGTTCGTTTAGCCCATTCATTTATGTTCATTTAGCCCGTTCATTTACGTTCGTTTAGCATGTTAACGAACAAACATAAACGAACACGAACACACATGATTTCTAAACGAACGAACACGAACACAAAGATTTTCGGTCGTTTACCGTTCGTGTTCGTTCGTATGTGGTTAAGTTAAACGAAAACAAGCCTCCGTTCGTGTTCGTTCGGTTAGTTTACAGCCCTAGGTACGGGGAGAGGGATTGGATTCCCGCCCCATTCCCATGCCTAATAATCATACTTGTTTCTATTTTGTTTAAAGCTAATATAGAGAAAAGAAGGATTTTGTTTTGTACTAAAGGTGCAGCATGAGTTAGTGTAGAAGTAGTTCTTTTCTTTATGAAGCCTTTGCATAAGGTAGGTTCTTTCGTTCCAAAACACATATTCCTTTGTACTTTCAGAACATGGTTCCCCATCCTAATTGTAATAGAAGTGTAACAAATGATCATTAAGCTACTTTCCATACAAATATATATCCAATCTCTAAACCATCTGATTGTCACCAGTTTGTCCATGTTCTTTTCCCTATTTCCTTAGTAGAAGAGTATGTCTCTGTTTCTTAGAATCTAGTGTAAAAATGTTCCATTAGAAGATGGCCATGGTGGAAGTTCATACTAGGCTTTCAACCCCACTACAAAAAAGTAACCTGATTTCACTATAGAACCTGCATCTCCAACAACATTGTCGCTTACCATTTCCTATTCATCTTAAACTCTTCCTTCATTCTAAGCCGAGGAGTGAACCCCTTTCCCAATCAGGATAAGTATTCTTCACTAGTAACATTCCATCATTAGGGGTCAAACACAGGAGAATGACATTTGGTTCTACAAATGCAAAGGAAGTTAATGAAGAGATATTTTTGGTTTTAAAATCCTGCTTACTTATTAATTCTTAATAATCAATTCTTCAGAAGATGTGAATGTTTATGACACAATTTTGGAATTACTAGTGATGCCACATTCAGCACCAAATTAGCAAGCAATAATCTGTAGTTCATTTAACCTATGTATAACTTGAGTGTAGAAGTCCCAAACATTTTTATACAACACAAGGAACTTTCATGTTTATGAACCAGAACTTCAAAAAGAAGCCAAAAAAGCTCCAGGCTTTATGATAGGGCATGTTTATACTGGATATCATATTCCAATGGCCTGTTCAGTACTTGGTCCCGTATTCAGTAACCACCTAAGAATATCATGTAAAGGCCTCCAACTATACAAACAATTTACATAGTCCTAGCCACTTTATGAGTTACCAGCATATCAGAAATTAATGTTGCTCTTATTGTTATTCCAGAAAGTTGTACCTGTAGCGATAAGAGTTATCATTTGTAGATCTTCATCTTGTTTATGTTTATCCCTATGACTCATGTGACCTATATAGGGGTACTTTTAAAAAATTAATGAGAAACACATTTTTCTTCCAAGATAGAGAGTTTATCATGGTATGAGAGCTTGGCTTATGGTACAATGCCCTGTAGCACAAGTGATCTAAAAGAGACCCAATCAAGTAAAAGCCCACCACCCTCACAGCCACAAGGCATGTGTTATCTCTCTTTTTCAACCATTCTCTTTGTTAACACATCCTACACTACAAAAACAAAAGGACCCCTAATTTCTTGTTGTTTTACCCCATAATGTGATCATTTAACTCATTTGCGTTGAATTTTAATTTTAGATATCTATTTTTGTGTTCTTGGAAGATGTGTATCTATTCGATTGTTATTTGTATGGCTTTCACAAATTAGGATCATTGTTTTACATAAACAATTGTCTCACATCTTAAAGTAGTAATGTCTGGAAATTAATTATGCAGAGGCTAAAAAAATACGGGTTAGAGTTTTCCAAAGATATGGAAGAGTGTACCATTGATATCATCCCATCAGCCCAAGCAACTTCAATATCACCATTTCTGAGTCCTGTAATATTTCCAACCCAAGAGAGGTCTGAAAAGTTCGTGCAAGCTTCAACACTGGATGCATCTCCTGATTTCCCACACCCTGCATGCTTTGTTGAATCTTCTTTAACCTTGTTCCCATCAGTCAACTCTGCCACATTCTCAGTATTGCTAGCATCAGCAGCTGTCTGAGGCGCTACAGAAGTGGATGGTAACCGAACAACAACATCCCCGTAACAATAATCATAGTCCTGGTGCCCTTCAAGCTCATAAACACTGACAACTTCCTCCTTATCGAATTCCTTAGGATCTTCCGCTTTGGCAACTGACTTTAACCACCTCACACAAGCTGTCCTCTCTTTTGCATTTACACTTTTCACAACTCCCACACGACTAATATCACTAGTGTCATCATTACCATCAGTGGGCTTTTCTACCACATACTGTTCGGAGACAAATTCATGATCTCCAGGGTTTTCAATTGGTATCAAAGAGATTGAATCCAATCCACGTCCTATCGTTCCATCCTGCCAAGCTACATCAACTCTTGTTTTTGTATTAATAATTTGAAGGGCTTTTTCAAAATGTTCCTCTTTTCTCCGAGACCTTTTATCTCTCTTAACCAAAACTTTACGGACCTTTTTACGATGTAGAGGCCAATTTTCATGGGCTGGACCTTTCAAAGCAGGCAATGAGCTAGTGCATGAACTAGATTCAATAGATGGATTGTGATCATTTTTTCCAATGTCTACAGCAGGTGCAATATTTGGATAAACATCCATGGGGTCAGATTTCCTGGTGGATTCCTCCCCAGGAACCACTTCTGAATCACTCTCAGACTTCTCTTGAGTACGTAAGCCAGCTTTTATGGAGTCCTGAAGTTCCAACTCCGATGAAGTCTTGCCATGAGGAATCATAGACGAGGGCTTGGGTGATGGAAGAAGACACCAATCACCGAGTTGCCAATTTGCATGTGCAAAACAAGCCAACAACTTTAAGTTTTTTGGATTCTGCTCCTCAGACGGTGTTATTGAAGAGTCTGGCCCATAACCTGCAGATGCTATCCAATATACAAATGCTGACCCAGCCGTAACATTTGTTACGGTTCCTTCCAATCGTGAAGCCTTCCACAACCCAGATAGCCATCTAGAATTCTTAAAAACAGATGAAGAGCTTGCCTTTACTCTCTGACCAGGATAATATGGATAATGTGCATCTTCAAGGGGATTCTTCCCAACGGGTTTTAGACGCAGTGGGTCGGCTTTCATTACTCTACAAACAGAACCATCATCAAACATGACTGTCACATTATCAAGTACATCATCAATTCTACCCAGCCATGGGCCAAGGACTACATAATCACCAACTTGAAAATCCCTCACCCGCCTCAAGTCTTTTGATGAGATGTTATTTACGACAGATCCATCAATAGTTGATAGATCAACATATATGTTGACATCAACCACAACACCCACTTGTCCAGTTGCATCAGAAGCAGAAGCAACATAATCTCCATGCAAAAAACCTCGGTCAATAACTGTCACATCATTAAGACTTTGGGTCGTCTCAGATTCATCCATCCAAAGTACTCTAACATGGTCAGCTGGAAGTGGACTGCTCTCATCATCATCATTATCGGTATTCTCAGTGACATTTCCATGAAAATCTTTGGTACCATCCTCATTGACACTAGTCAGTTCAGTGTCTTCATTCTCCTCATCTTCGTCGTCACTGCTGCTATCCGAGTCAGAATCACCCGCAACTTCAGTCACTATCCCAGTCTTCCCCTCAGATTTGCTTCGTACAACATCTTGTCTGTAAATATACGATATAGCCCCTGGACGCCTGCCATTTTCATCTATCTTGACATTTGAACCCTCATTTGGATAATGTTCTGTATCTTCATGAGCATCAGAATGCAGCTTGGTTTCCATCTAAAAGTCAAAAAAGAAAGGACAGGAAATATTAGAAAAACTGCTCTACAAACTGAATTGGTATTGGTAGATTTATCAATAACAATCGACTTCTAAAAGTTCAAAATTGAACAGGTAAGAGTAATTGGTGTTAGTATGTTCATCATTAACAAAGAATATGCATGTGAGAATGAAAGAACCTACTATATACAAAGACTTCATTAAGAAAAAAGTAATTCTAACTCATGCTGCACCTTTAGTTCAGCTTGAAATTCTTCTCTTTTTTACCTTGGCTCATCCGAAATAAGTATTTTCCAAATTTGAGAATCCCAATAAATTATTGCAGTATGCAATTATATGCCAGCTGATGTACAACAAATGGCATTTGGTTAGCTCTGTTTGATAGTGATAATATAGTTCTAAGGGGGAAAGACATCTCTTTTTGCTGAAAAAGAAATGCAGTGTTGTCGAAGAAAGAGAACATCAGCATTTACCATCAAATACAATATGCATCTTAAAAAACAAAAGGCACACCAGATATAAATAGACTAGTCATCACAATAAAAATTTAAAAGAGAAATAACATAAGCATAAAGAAAAACAATCCATCATGATCAAATTAAAGTAACTTTATAGATCATCATGCCCCACATCAACATCAGTACAACATATGGTGTCTAATTTTGATACATAAAGAGGCACAGATTAAAAACATATTGAACCAGCACCCAATTCATATCCAGTGTAGATGACACATGAGCTTCACACCCATCCTATTTAGCTAAATACACTAGCTTGAGATTTTGGAGGTGTTTGGATGTGCGTTTAAACCGATTCTTGCAACTAAGTTGCATTAACCAGTTTTGGGTTTTTTGGTCAAATTGATTATGATTCTACTTTTCCGATTATTCAGGACCATAAAATGAATAATCTATAATAATTCGTAAATCTAGATTGGCCCCTCTACTATATCTGTACAAATAGGGGTTTTTGAACAGAACTTCGATAGGCGAGAGGTGTAAGAACGCGATGATCGGAAAACTGATTATTGGCTCTAAGCAATAGATGTAAGCAGCTTATTATCTTGTTATCTGATTGACTGATTCTTATTTTTCATGGCAATAATCAGTTCAATTCGCACATCCAGACACTCCTTTATTTCAAGCTTTTCCGCCATCCACTAGTACAGGAAAAAAAAAAACATAAGAGATAATTTCCTTTCATTCCCGTTGCAACTTCATCAAACAAGTAAGCATCACTAGACCATTGGTAACAAGAACCTCAATGCCAAACTGAATTAATTTAAAATCATTAAACTGCCAGAATATCGTAAATGAAAAGGGTTTCATAGCAGCTTATAATAAATATGAATAGAATCCAATGCAGCGACTAATGGACTAAACTGATAAATACAAAAGAAACAAATCCAAAGTGGACCTAACAACAATTACCTTTGATTAGGGTTGTCAGATGGATATCAGATTCGGCGATCCTACAAGGCTAATAACGTGAACACACAGTGAGTGAGAAAATAAATAAATTAAAACAACGAAAAGCAGCTGAAGAACCCACGAGAAGAAGTCGATCCTTTGTTTGGTTGAAACGATAAAACAAGAAATCAGCTGAAAAGAATCACGCATTCATTGAGGAACAAGAAGATTCAAAAGACTGGGTTTAGAAATAAAGCGAACATCAATGGATGAATCGTGTAGGCTAATGAACCTCAACAAGCAATCTATTGGCTTCAACGCAACGAATCTTTTGAACAAGTGTTGGAGGGATAATGAAATCAAAATCTGTAGCTATAAAAAGAGGAAAGAATTTATGTTGATTGTAAGGGAGAAGAGATTACCAGGTTGATTGGACGATTGTGAAGAAGAAGTAATCATAAGTTTGCAAAAAGACCAGAAGTCGAAGGAGCTGAAGAAATGCGGTGAGGGTATTTAGACTTGCGTGTGTATAAGACTCGTATTTTGCTTCTCTTTTTTTTGCCCAAAACAAAATATGAATTGTTTATGTATAAAATGAGAGAGTAAGTTATGGATTTTGTCCCTACGATGTATTGTTTTTGGTCATCAGAGTTTTTTATACTAAAACAGCCCCTAGAATTTGTATTTTCGTAATGTTTTGGTCTCGACCCGTTAGTTAACTCTCATTCCGAGGCAATTAGGAGTATTAGGTTATTGAATTAACCCCCCTCCGACCCCACCCTTCAAAGCTACGATAACTCCACCCATTTCTCTGTATCCCATTTCCAGCCACCTTACAACATCACGTACAAACACAAAAAACAAACCCAAATTTATCAAAAAGGGTTGTTCTACAAGGGTGCATGATCTAATGGTGATGTTGGTCGTGTTGAGAGCTTTGAGAAGAAAGAACAAAAGGTGCACAGTGGTGATCGTGATAGTACTGTTTTGTCCCACTGCCAACGATTTTCCTTGAGAAACACTACCATTGTATTCCCTTGAAACCCACCTATTTCGTCCAAACTTGTTTTGTCCCTACCCCCTTGACCACTGATTTTGTCCCTGCCACATAACCCATAAAACTAAGCATGAGATATAGATTTGAGCCGATTTAGTGGTGTTTTTCTCAATAGAATTAACCAACATCAGTTAACACGGTCTTGTTATACGTATTTTTTTTGTTTTTTTTCTTCTGATAAAGAATAAAAAATATATATTGCATAATATAATCTAAATCTTTTTTGATATTATATATACACACACAAGATGAGTCTGAGACCATCACTTGAATATTAAACTAACTATGGAACATTTATGTAAATATATATATGATTTTGCATTTGCTAAATTAATTTAACAAAATCTCAAAAAGAAATTAATTGCTTTGATGTTTTAAAATTTTAAAAACAACACAAAATTAATTAATTGCTTTCATATTTGTCTTCAAATAAAAGTAACAATTTTTTAAAAATTTATATACTCGCTTTAATAATTGTACTTATATTTTATCTCTTCTTACAACATATAATAAATAAAATATCACTTAAACGTCTTATATTATTTATAAATTAACTTTAGACCCATGAGGTATCATGCATGCTCTCGTTTTATGGATACTAGAAGGGTACTCATGTAATGTATCGAGTCATATCCTGATTTCAACGTTTCGTTTTATTCTTTATTTATGTCGATATAGTACAGTTTTATCTGATTTTGAGAAAACGATAATTTTTTTATTTTTGAATAAAATATCATAAAAATTTAAAAAAAAACTATATCAATATTAGTATCAAATTGACCATTTAAAAGTTGTTGTTTTGTGTAATTTTTTTTAATTCAAAATTTTTATTATAATTTAATTTAACGTAACAAAATAATTTAATTTAGATTTAATAATATAAGTTTTTATAAATATAATAATTAAATATTCTGTTATAACTCAATAATTATCCTAATTATATTTTAGATTTTTTTATATTTAAAATGAGATGTTTATCTTATATTTACATGGAGCTTTAATAAGTTGTACTTACGCACAATTTACTTGTAATCTTAAATTTTAAGTAATATGCATCAATAAACAGTACTTCATGCATGAAAAATGGTTTTTAAGAGTTTTTGTTAAATATTTTATAATATAATATAGATGTATATAATACAATATTAGCAAATATATTATGTTATGTATTCTTTTTAATAGGAAAAAGATAAATAAAATAAAAAGTGTAGAGGACCAAAATGCCCCTTTAGTTAATGTTAGTTCTAAAGATTAAAAAATATCGTAATAACACAGTAGAGGAGGGAGTGGATATAATAATTTTCAAAATTTTAATATATCTTTTATTAAAAACTATGGTATTTACAAAATTCAAAATTGTTGCGAAAATAACCTAAGGATCAACTAGTGCTCAATAATATAACAATCTATTTATGCTCTCTAGATCTTTCACTCTATAATATACTCACTTAGCTGATAAAAAAATTTAAATGAAATAAAGATGCAAGTGAGACAACAGCTGATCAGTGTAGCAAAATAGTTTCGCCAAAAAAGAACTATCGACTACATTAAAGAAAGTCGGGCACAAATTTGAGTAATGAGTCGAGGCTCATGTTGGCAGGCCCGTTCCTGACAATTTTTTGGCCCTGAGCGAGATGTAAAAAGGGGCTCTCAATAAGTACGATATTTTTTCGATATTGTTTTTATAATCAGAAATAACATTGAATTCATATAAAATCGTTTTTCCGAGTGTTCCTAGACGCAAAATCAATCAATACTCGTTTCTAAACTAATATTATCTACTAGAACATTTTTTTGTAGTATCGTTGATTTGTTTCGTCATCAAAAACATCCTATGATATACTTTTGGTGGGGTCACAAAGTCGATTCTTCTGATTTTCGAGTGACACTATGTAAATCAATATAAATAGATTGGACTTTTCCATGTCATCTCATGGTAATGTTTTTAACATCATTTTAAACTTTTATATTATGTTTTCGAATTTGGGAAGATTAATACCATTTAAAACTTATATCATGTTTTCGAATTTGGGAAGATTAATACCATTTTAAACTTTTATATTATGTTTTCGAATTTGGGAATGAAAGAAAGAATGAGAATGGAAAAGAAAAATAAAAGAAGAAAAATAAAGTTTTTTGTTTGTGTTTTTAATAGAGAAAAAAAAGAAGGAAAAATAATGAAATAAAAATAAATTTTTGATATAATTTTTTTCTTTTGCCTAAAAAAATCTCGAGAACAAAATATTTTTCTTCTCCTATTACTTTCCTCTCTTTCCTACGTAAAAGAAGACTCAAGAACATAGGGTTAAAGTTAAAACAAACTTTTTTGAAATCATCGATTATATAAATTAAGAAACTCGTGTTGGTGATAGTTTGAAATCTTATTCTTCTTTTAGAGATAAAATAGTACATAAGATTTATACACTCAATATTAGATAATAAAGAACAACTATGAAAAAACAATTATAGTTTTATTATTCTAAATATAGATATAAGTTGTACCGTCTTATATGGTTGGTAATTTTTTCATAAGATGGGGGTTTTGTTAGCTAATAACAAGAAAATCTTTCATATTTTAATACAAAAATAGAATTAATGCAAGAATGGAACAATCAAAAGAGTCGATGGAAGATAAATTATGAAGAATATATCAAAGTTTTCGAAGCAAGTAGTTTTAGACGTCGGTTTTAGATAAAAAAAATTAGAAAAACATTAAAAAATATTATATAATGAACGACATATTAACCTCTTTAGGTATTTTTTTTTCTCTAATATATTTAATTCATATATGTTTGGGTCTTTAATAGTTAATGTAGTACCAAAATCTTTTCTTGTCATATTAGATACTAAATTTTTTATGTGTCTTGTATTTACTAATTTATTTAAACTATTATATTTTGTATATATATACACCCTATATATATATATATATATTAAAAATTTTGGGCCCCTAATTTTTATGGGCCCTGGGCATATGCCCGGCCCGCCCTCCCCCAGGGACGGTCCTATGTGTTGGACACGGTTTCCTTAAAATCGATTCACCCCCAACAGGTGCGTCAATTTCCTAAGATACAACTCTAAACATAATAGAATTATGTCGGACTTTACCTTCATCGGTTTTCCACTTTATTCTCACTTTTTCCGTGCGGCCTCGTTTTCCTCTATCCCTTAGAACTCAAGGTTGGGGTTTTTATATATAAAACACATTTGTAATACATGGGAGGTTAAACGCTACTACAATGGAATATAATTCCATCGATTGTAACCGAAGCATATGAAAGGTCTAAAGACTCCATTGTTACCATTCATGTTAAGATTAATATAGATAACCAAAGGCCTCTAGCCTAGCGGTATTGGTTCCTTTGGCCTCTTAGAAGGTCAAAGCTTCAAGTCTCACCAAAGGTGAAGTTGGTGTGTGAATTTATTTGTTGCATTTATCGTATATAAATATTATGTACTTCAAAAGAAATATTAATATAAATACTAATTTTTCCAACAATGATACCTCATGAATGGAAGTTATCATTGAAATCTCATAAATCATAGTACACAAGTTCAATATGTGAATATTGCAAGGAGAGGTAGGTGTTAGCCTTTGAACCTTCCCTTATGATGTATATACTAGTTGTGTACACGTGCAATGCGGCGGGATGTTAAATTTTATTGAGGATCAAAAAACATATCAAACGTCTCAATATATCTCACTCAAAATTAAGGTTTAAGTGGATAAGATGTACATTAATGTGAGTCTTAACGTCATTTTTGTCATACTTGAACCTAATAAAGGAGGATAAGTTATAGCCTTGAAACAAAGATAAAGAGTATTCAACTATCTAAGGGGCCGTTTACTAAATGTTTATCCAGGTAAGCGCTTACTATGTTACATTACCTTACAAGATAAATGTGACAAAGACAAAGAATCTTACCCGATAAAAGCGAGACAAGGAACAAGAGTCTTACTCGGTAAGTGAATGTTACAACTCTTACCATGGTAAGAGCTTATTGTGTAAATTATTGCATATGGTGTTGTTTTGGTGGACTAAAATATTACCCGATAAGTAATTAACGGTGTTAAATTTTACCGGTAAGCACTTATTGAGTAAGTTTTTAGTAAACGGCCTCTAAGTAGAGCTTCACAAATTTAGAAAGCTCCATGGGCATGTTTGGCTCGGCTCGGCTGAAATTTTTTAATTGAGCTTTCAAACAAGCCAAGTCGAACATTGGTTTTATGAACTTTGACTCGTTAAATTAAACGAGTCCTATTTTATGTTCGAGATCGACTCAATCTCGAAAATTATTAAGCTCGAGCTCGAGTAATTCGTTAAAAGCTCGACTCGTTTGCACCCCTAATGCACCAGAAAGTGGAATATTAAGCAATACAAATATGTTACTTATGCAAATTGTTGGTGAATCTGTTCATG